AGTTATACAGTGATTAATATGCTATAACTTTTCATTTTTTCTGAGGTTATCTTCAGTAAAGTAAGGTAGATAGTCCGCATTCTATTTTTTAGTTGTTTATTATATGATGACAAGTACTTTGAATTCTTCAACCATAGTTAAATAAAATTTCAGTTTATTAAGGTACCGCTGATTAAAGAAGATAATGTCAAAAATTTCTCAGTTTTGTGAAGAAAAAGTTGGTTAAATGAGTTTTGATTTCTATATCATTTTTCTGCTTCAAGTTAATTTGTCTCTTCTTTTTAGCTTCTTCTTTATAATTTCTGTTTGAATACACTTTTATAATTGAAATTAGATAGTTTTTACAGCGTATTACAATACAAATTTATATTCCAAAAGCCACTCCAAAATAAAAAAAAAGCATTGACTTTATGTGAATTTTTTTTCCTCTGTTTACAACCTGCGATTTGTTTCATCTGCTTTTTAAAGCAGATTTTTCCATTCTTTGATTTGCTGCGAAATTTTTGTAGAAACAATGTAAATGAGGACTGCTTAGCAAAAAATGATTGAACAACAATGAACAAATACAGAATTACTGCTTCTTGGACAACTCATTATATTTTTGGCTTTCACTGTCTGACTGGAAAAGGCTCTTACAAACTTCAAATCAGACTCGAATTTTTCTGATTTTGGTTTTTAAAAATTTAGGTTAATTTTAATGAAATAGTTAGCAGCAACATCTGATTGCAGCAGATAGTTTAAGACAGATTAAGAGGTTTGTACTTTGATGTCTCACTAGACGAACTCTTTCATTAGGGTTTAAAATAATTTTTTCTTTTTTCTTGCACGTTTCAATTTCACAATTTCCTCTTTGTACATATCGTATGATATCTCTTTTGTTTTAAGACTTTTATTATTATTCTTAATATTATTATTGTTGTTATTGTTATCCTTATTACTATTATTATTATTGTTATTATTATTGCAATTATTGAATATCTTCCAATTTTTAAACTTCTCTCAGTTTTCTTTTCGTTTCTGAAAATCAGATAACATTTTCCCCGGTGGAATTGAAAAAAGCTTGGCAAACGTTTGCGGATTAACCATTGCCTGTATAATGAACTTTTTGCAAGCGGTACCTCACCAAAAGTTCTGCATAAAATAGTAAAAAGTTCTTTGATTTATGCTGTTTTTTCAGAGCAAATCAATTCAATTTTATTTTGATAGCACATATTCTCTGTGATGGCTTTCAACTGGAAGACTAAAATGACTTGTTTGTTTCTTTTTTCGGTAAATGTTTTAGATGGATAGAAATTCTAAATTTCAAAAGTTTTTAAAACGAGAAGTTGAGCAATTATAATCCTTTTTTAATTACAATTATGTAATAATTATACATTACTATTAGCTTCGCAACTCCATATGTATAAAATTCAAAAGAAAATAATTTTACATAACTGCTGGACAGTAAATAAAATAAAGTTTTTAAGCTTCAATTCATTCTTCTCAGTCGCTTCTTTGACGGAACAGAAGATGAAGAAAATATTTGAAAATTTTTACATTTGGTCGTTTTTTAGAGTGCTAAGTAATCAATGCGACGTTCGGTAAACGACTTAAAAGGTAACAGAGGAAAATCAGCAAAAATTTGTCAGTCGTCACCAACGTTGCTATGACAAATCCACTAGCAAACATTATGCGTATAATGATTTACCAAAATAATTGAAGGTTCGCTTTGTTGTCCGCACTTTTTTTCTTCACCAGTCATTTTCTCTATAATTCTTCCACTTGCTTTACCACTTTTTTCTTTTGAAATTTAGCCTCATTTTTAATTATAATTTCATTCGCTGATGTAAAACCTAGCTGTATTAAAAAGTATATTTTACTACTCAATTTTTCTATCATATCACACATTTACAGCCGAAACGAAATAAGCTTAGCGTCTTTAATTAAAATCATGTAGTGTTTTACGTTCTGCAGAGCATATTTGACATTTCTCAGCCGTATTTAGCAACACTCTTTCTGGAACAAGTGAACACAGATTCCATCAGAGACGGAAATGAAATATTGGCTTTGCTGTTGATCTACAACTTTTTCGGAAATCTCCCTCAATGGCTAATGACTCTGACGGTATAGGGGATCTTCTAGAGGTATACTAAATTTTGTTTGTTAGAAACAGTCTTCTTAAGCACTGAGGAAAAAGTAAAAAACTGAAAGATTTTCTAGGATATTGTGGATTTGGACGATCAGTTATTCAGTCGTAGTAAAAAACAAATAGATACAGCATCATCAAAGTTAGGTTCAGCAGTGGGAGAAAACAAAAAGCTTCAAAATGCAAGTGCTACTGCGTGCCTCTGGAAACTTTTTTTGGCATCACTCTGTTCTCTTTCTTCAATTAAGCATTGCTGTAACAGCGCTTTTCATTTTTAACAAGTCTTGTATCTCCTGCTATGTTACCTAAGGCTGTGAAAATACCCTCGTTGATTAATGAAAACTGCAGTATTTTAGGCCGAAAAATCTGGAGATTTTCTATCTAGTTTCTTCAGCGAGCGAAAAGAACAAAAAAAGCAGTCTGAAGATCAGCCTAGCAGGTTTGTTTTGTTTTTTATATCATCTATATCTTCAATATAATCAGCAATAATTTTCAAGTAATTAACAACCTTTTAACCTAACGGCGTTTAACTAACGCTCGATGAGACTACATCTAAACCTCCTTTTCAAAACTGCTGTAGTGGCTTCCAAAGTTCAGCCGTCGAATCACGACTATCTCAAAAGAAGTCAGCCATCGACAGCCTCTTTGGTCCTGTCAGCCGGTAGGTATTATAGAAAAAGTTCTTGCTGTTATGGAAGAACTGAAGTCTATGCACTCTATCACTTACTATTTCTCAACTTACACCAAATAATGCAGCAGTGTAAAGTATGTTTTGGCCGTCATGAACAGTGTCTATTAAAACCTTACTGGAAAGGTACACTGGAACTTTTTGGCTTATTTTCTGGACTTTGGAGTACAAATAAATCATCTGACGACTCAGTATTTTGTAACCTTTCATTTTTCCTTACTTTGCATCCCTCGCACTACTCCGTTTCCTTGCCCATAGTAACATTAGATACTGATGAGTCGTACACGAATTTAAATTGCTAACCGCTGAATCTTTTTGAAATTCCTTACTACAACTGTAACTAAAAATTACAAAAAGTTTTAGATTGAATAAAAGTCCGCAAAGTGCTGTTACCTCGCAGCAAAATTTGCCCAACGATTCTATATCAACACGACAAAACTTCCTTTCATTTTTACCTTCCGACGATACGCCAAAGCACCAAAATACAGACGAAAATGCCAAAAATGGAAGCATCTCCCATACATACGATCGAAGTCAAAGGTAATTTTGCAGATATTTTGAATATGAAAAATAGGATAAATAGAAGCCGTCAAGAGAGAAGGAAAGCAAATTTAATTACAGAATGGAAAAAGAAATTGATCGTTTAAACCGCGAAATTGACGAAATCAAAATGTTGAAAAAACGAGACGAAGAAGAGCTGATCAATGAATGGAAAGAAAAACTGATGAAGAAGCAAAAAGAGTTTGAAGAAACGTTAGAAGAATCGAATCAAAATTACCGGTCAGCTTTAAATGCAGCATCGTAAAAAAATTGTTTACAAATTCTTTAAACAGTCTTTAAGTTACTTTGTATAGTTCTTCCACTTCAAACGCTCAAAATCTTTCATACAGTTTCATATTAAATGTAAATAAATTTTCATAACAGACCCACTAAATCTAAAACAAGTTTGCAGAAAACGGATTGAGGATTTAAAGGAAGAGCATGTCAGAAACTTAAACGAACTAAAAGAAACCTTCAGCAAACATCTGGAAGCCTTAGAAGTTGTTCAACAGCAAACAAGGTTGATATGGATGTGTTTGTAGAACAATTCTTTTTTAATTCGAAACAAAAATTGTGTGTAGAAAGAAACTATGCCAAACATTTTTACTTTAGGAACAGTAAAGACGTTCTGCAAAAAGTGGAGGCGTTAACCGAAAATATTAGAAATATTTCTGCAAAAGTATCTAACGAAAGCGAAAGAACGGCCATTGAACGTGAAGCGAAACTGACAGAAAGGGAACATCTGATCGAATTCAGAGAGCAACGGTATTTCATCTGGAAATAATTTTGTATTTTGAAACTGCTAACGTAATACATCGTTGTTTCCTTATGCATTCTTTTAATAACTTTTATAAACAGGTTGCTAAAAGAGGAAGAGCGTTTGTTAGAAGAACGAAAAGTTGTTGACCAGTTGAGTCTGAATTTGCGATCATTACATGAAGAGAAAGAAGCTACCTTGTTAAAGGTTCTTTTAAAATCAGAATAATTAAATATTCATTTAATTTAAAATTTTTTCTTTATTAGTGATTACTGGAAGATTCAAGTGGTGTTTTTTAATACGGTTTGTTTATTCTTTCTACTTAAGGAAAAATGGGTAATCAAAGAAGAGCGGAATAGACTATCAGCAGAAAAGAGTGCTTTTAAAGATGATCAAAGGATAGTTATTGATATGTTAGAAAAACAAAAAAGCGAAGTGGAACAATCGCGAGTAGGTGTTTTTCTAGAAATAATTTTTATAGGTAGTTATCAAATAGAAATTTAATTTTATAGAAAATTTACTAACAGCAATACTTCTCAGAGAAAGCCAATATTTTATGCTGCTTTGTTTCCAGTTTAGAAGGAAATTTAGTTCACTGTTTAATTAGACTTTTTATGTTCATTGATGCCACATTTCCGATCACAGTAAATTAACAGTTGCAAAGTAACCATTTAAAAAATTGACAAGATCATAAAAGCAAGTAAAAACTTGGAAATACAGGTTAGCTGTAAGCTGAACAGTTTTACAGAAATCCTTAATTTATTAATGTACAATAGTACTTTCAGCTTATTGAAGCTTAATTATTTTATTAGAAAGAAAATAAAACTACCTCAAAAAAAATAAATAAAGCGGTTTCTAAGAGGAAAAAGTTAATATTTTTCAACCTGCTCTTAGCATTTATTGTAACTTGAATAAGATGCTTCAAAAAGCTTTAAATGGTTGATTTGATGTTTGGATTATAACCAATGTTTGTAGATGAAATTTCTAAAAGAACAGCACGATTTGTTATTTCGGGTTATTAATGAAAAATCTCTGCTCGATGAAGAAAGAAATTCATTTTTTGTGCAGCGAAATGCGGATATTACAAGAATCAAAGAAGAAGCACAAAAACTGGATAGTAAAATTATAGAGGTATATTTTTTAATTTTTCTGATTTTGAAAAGCTTTCTTAAATGCACTTTTTGACTCTTTTATTTGGCGACTGGCTATATCACTATTTTAAATCATTTGAATAACGCAAATTCACTTATATTTTTATTTTTGTAAAGAAACCAAATGTACTAGTAATTCTTTGTCAAGGTTACTAATGCAGAAAGACTATTGGCAGAAGCGAGGCGAATGTATGAAATAAAATATTCTATGGTAAGTTAAAAAATTTAATTTTATTCAACATTTTTACTTGCGAAAAAGTTGCGAGCTCAGTAGAGAGGCGATACTGTCGCAGTTTACAATTAGTGTAAAACACATTATACTGTTATTTACCTGAATCTCACTTAAACTTATGCTATTTATTAGCTGTATTAAAGAAATAACTTATAACTTGAATCTTGTTGCATTCTAAATGTGGTAATTACTGTAACATTTTTCTAGCTTGCTGAGTTAGAAAAGACTTTGACTGACGAGTGCAACGAGCTTGACGACTGTCGAAGGCAGATTGAAGCTGTTCATTTCAGTCAAGCTGCTGTTCAGGCGTTGGTAAGTTCTGAGAAACGTCTTTGAAATTTATTAAAAATGAAACATAAGCAGGATTATGGTCAGGGTTACTGTATTTTTTCGTCCAATTGATTTTAGAATTTTACACATTAGAAGTTTCGCTACTTATACACTGCTATCAACATATAAAATATTCTATAGTTTTGTAGCTAATCAACAGTTGAAGTGAACAGAGAAGTTTTGCTTACTTACCTCTTGAGCAAAAATGCAATAAACGTCACTTAATTTTCAGTTGTTTTAGAAATTTCAAGATGCATTACACTAAGTTGTTTTAGCTGTGTTTTTTGCCAAGTAAGTCAAGTGAAAAACAGTTTGAAACAAGTGTAAAAGAGAAGTTGGTTTAGCCATTATTTGTAGTTTTTACTTATTTATTAATTTATTTTTTACAAATTTACAGAAAAATATTGACAGCTTGCTGAGTTATATAATTTTTTGCGTCATCTTTCAACAAAACAGTTTAGCCATTCTGGAATGAACCACCAGCAAATGCTATTCAAGAAAAACCAAATGTGGAAATTATTGCTGATCCATTTGTTTCTAGTAAACCGACATCAAGGTAAGATGCAACGAAAGATTACAACTTGAAGTATTTTTGGACTCTCATTAAATGAGGTTAATTTCTTTCGCTTGTTTTTTACAACTTCTAATCGTAAATAAATCAGCTTTTTAATCTGCAGTGTTACATATCTAGCAGATTAAAATCTAGAAAAATCAAAAACTAAAAAAAAGAAATACACTTATTTGTCTACACATTTATCGACAAAAACTGCCAAACTTTAGTATTAAACCTTAAAGAACCTCAGATATAAAGCCTTTCTCTGAGAAGTTTCTCTTCCAGGTCTGATAACGCTAAAGCTCTGCTTAATTCACATTGTCGAGAAAAAAGTGGTGCTTACAGCAGTGAACATGGTAATACACAGCATGACTTTATACAGTTTTCTCTTTACGAACTGTTGTAATATTAAATGTCAATTTTCTTGTCATATTGTTCCAAAACTCATCTGTTGATCTGTAGTAACCTACGAAAGAAAAGAAGCAAAAATTATTCTGTAGCTTAATCAGAATTTTTTGATTATTCTTCTCTTACCTATCGGATAATTATTTGGTAAAATGCGTAGAAGAAAACTGTGTTTTTACAAAGCATTAAAATATCTAAATGTAGTCAGGGCTCACATTCCTTTGTGAGCTCAATAACAAGAGTAATGACAAATTTTCTTTTTTACGGTAGATGGGTGTCAAATAGTGGATAACACCTGCTTTTAACGAAGTACCAGCAGAAAGAGGCTGATCACTAATGCTGAAATCTTTCTGTAACATCAAACGACAATAAATGATAAACATTAACTGTTTTACTCATTTTCGTCGCCTTTTTTCAGTGTTTTCAATGAGCTTTTTAAGTTTGCAATTAGGTAACGAGTAAGACCAAGAACTGGCTGTGCAAATTGCATTCGTTTATTAGATCGTTTGAATGTAGTGATGTTTTATTTAGATTCCATTCTTATACAAAATTTAATCTATTTTACGAACACAGTTCTTTTTTCTTTTAAGGGCTAACATTTGTTATATATGTTCTGAATTTGGTAAGATACTTTTCATTTTTTACCCTCTCAGACGTTTGAAAAATAAAAGTACCTTGGAAATGTAGGCGGTTGACTATGATGTTTTAGTCTCACATGAAAAAAAGAGTCTGTTCTTGCAAAGAACACAAAAGCAAATTTATTGTTGCTTTCAGATATGTTACTCGACTTCCCGAACTCTTCGGCAAGGGCAGATCATAGATGAATTTTGATTCGTGATTTATTTTTTAGACATAACATTGAATCTATAAGCGTGGCTTAATACGCAAAAAAATTGTCTTGGAGTTCTTTGTCTAGTGGTAAACTCATTCTATTTCAGTTTAATATTCATGCAGTAACAAAATGCAAAAAAAGTTTTTTACTTTTAAAACTGATAATAATGGTTTTTTAGGTTTCAATTTTATGTTAATTTGCATTTGTTGTCGAATAAATGATTCGAGTACCTGCAAGTTTTATTTGCGTGCTGCTTTCTGTATTGCAGTAAGTAAGAGAAAGGCAAATTCTGTTTAATAATTAAAATAATACCAAAAGCCCTGAAAGAATTATAGATAATTAAATTTAGGCTTAACAGTCTGCTCTTCTTTCTTAATTAAAAACCAATGTATGCAAAAATTACTTTCACCGGCATTTATTTAGTTTTTTTCTAACAGTCACTTTAGCAGCTAGTTTTGGAAGTTTTCTTGCAGCTGTATTTAGACTTTATAATTTTATTCAACCCAAAGCCATTTTCTAGCACTTTCCGTAATAGTTACTTTTTAATTAATTTTCTGTTTTAATTCTTATTTTACGTTTATTCATTATAATTCTCTAATGCAAATTCTCAATTTTTAATTTGGAAATGAGTGACTTCTGTAATAAATCTTTTTACTTCTCTGAAAGAGTACTACCAAATAGAATTTTACAGAAAAAGCAGGAATCAACATAGAAAAATTTGGAGCATTAGTTTGGTAAAAGTGATAAAGTTTTAAATAAGTAAATTTTTAAATCGTTATACAATGCTGCTTTGACGTTTGATAGAGCGTTAGAGAAAATCACTTGGTGTCTTTACTTCAAGAATAAGCTTCCTGTTAAGGCCAGCCTGTAATCAAAATAGGAAGACATAAAATGAGTTTTCGATTTAAAAGGTGTCATTAATGCTTGAGTGCATTACTGCTTTAAAAAACAGTTACTGATAGATTATAAACAGCGTTATACCTCACTTGAAAGATAAAACTTGATTTTATATCAGTGGATTTTCACGATCTGATTCTAATTTGATGCTATGAGAGGAGAAAAGATTTTCAAGCAAGAAAGTGTGACATTCTCCTGTCTTACGCTTTAATCGCTTAATGCAAAGAGAGGACAAGAGAAGCAACTTGTGATATGGAAATAATGTGGTGATCTAGAAGAGCCTGTAAAGTACAGTACAATTTGTGTTCTACAACTCTGACTCTGAAGGCCCAAATACACTAAAAGTCTGGTCTGAACGCAGATTTTCAGACGCTAGCTGCACTAAGCCAGGAACAAAAATATGGATTATTGATACTTCACTTTTTTCCTTTTAGCACTTTGTTGGAAATGACTGCAGAAATTGAATCTTAAGGAAAAAAGTTACTTTTAGAACAAAAAGTATTAATTCTAAAGTTCCATGAAAGTTTGTTAGAGAAGAATATCAAAAACAATCTTAAACTTTTTGGTTACTTCTAAAATAAAGAGTAGTTTTTTTTGATTTACAACGTAAAAATTGCTGCTCCACGAGTTTCTGGGGAGAGGCTCCCGCTCCAGCCAGCTGCGACTAGAGCGACGTTGCAGCTTCAGGCGGCCGAGGAGAAATGCTGACCATGTCAATCTCTGCTAACGACTAATAAGTCCCCTTGTAACGTCGCAAATTCGCATTCTCCAGTTGCAGACTTTTAAACAATTTTGAGACATTATAGACAGGTTTGACTTTTTGTAACAATAGGTTAAGTAAAGTGGAAAAACAGTATAAGGCAAGCGAGACTATGACGTCATGCCAGCAATGCAAAAAATGTTTAATTACCCAAATTTGAAGTAAGCTGTGCAGCGGTGGCAGTAGTGAGGCATCGTAGACGGGTTTGACCTTTTGTATCAGCATCAGTAGAGACAGTCTGCTGACAGACGTAGAACAATTTGAGAGACTGAATCAAGTGGTGTGAGATGCAGTGGAAGGTGATACAGCACCTCGGGTGAAGGTTGGTGGTTCGTTCTCATCAAGGCTAAAGAAGAGAGTTTTGTGTGTAGCTGAGCATTTACAATGATGTTACACTTATACTCATAATTCGCTTCTCTCTCAAGTCGGAATACCTAGAAGAAAAACTGCATTGTTGCCTTTCCTACCAGGAACTTTCCAAAAATTAAACTGTTATAAGGTAGACCGATCAGGAGCCGACAGATAAGCCTGCACTTCCAAACTGAACCTGGAGTCGGTGGATAGTGTTCTGCTATTTGGGACCAGAGGTGGTACAGCGCATTGCTTCCACGCATTGTTTTTCATATAAATTCGTCTATATACAAATTCAATAGTGCCCTTTCCGTCCCACACCGTAACTTACGGCCCTCCTCAAATTTCTGCCATAGAGGCTCAGTGCTGTTTGTGTAAGCGCCGGTCTCAGGATCAATAAAGTGGAGACTGTGGTTGACACTCTTATGCTGGTATTCCTCTGGCATGTCCTTGAAGGTACTGCATGCAGCCCACTGATCAGACACTATAGTTGTTCCTAGAACAACACACTGCCTGATCAGTGGCAGAAGGGTAGCAGCAGCTTGTCCCTCCCCTGAAACGACGAAGCACTAATGAGTGCCATATCAAGACTGATATTTTGAACTGATCTTCTCAATCGACAAGAGTACCGGTCTATCCAGCAGTGGTTAGCAAAAAGTAGCATATGTTGCTCCAAGTCAACAGCAAGTTTTATATTATAGAGATAATCACAGAAAAGTTGAAAAACTGAAATTTGTTAAACTGTCACAATTAGAGTAGTCTATAAAATTTCATATTTTCTTTATCTGCATACTACCTTTTATAGAGTTTGCAAACAGGAAAATAGAGTTTGAGGGAAATGTGATCTCATTTTGTTTTTTGAATGTTGCGGGATAAAAAATCACTTGAAAGATTTTTAATTGTAATAAAAAGATTTTGGTGCAGAAGGTGGCAGATCTAGAAAACAACAAAATCATCAGTACGAATAAAAATAGACATAAAAAAGGAGTCAGACATGCTTTCTGCTACAAAAACTCTAATATCTATAGATTATTAACGTGTCAAAAAATGTTGTCATTCTCGTAGAGCAAAAGATATACAGGTTTCTTTTGGTCACTTTTAAGCCAAAACTGTATTCGACAGAACCTCATTTTAAGACATTTGACGTGCATAATTGGATGTTTTTTAAAAGTTTATTTTGCAACATTTCGGAGCAATTCATTCAATTTCTTTTAATTACAGGATGCCCCTTCACCTTGTTTAATTTTTTAGACTACT